GCAAATTTAAAATACTTCTACAAGAGTTATAATGTGTTTTGAAGAACCTAATATAATCATTTCTCAATTTAAAGAAAACTTAGTTATTAGAAAAACTATTCATTTCAAAAAGGAATTGAAGGGTTATTACTTTTACAATTTTAGTGTTTTGTCAATATATGCTTTTAGTCTTAGTTATGAATTAGAGTTTTAACAAGCTATATGAATAATATAGTATTGGAAACAATTTATTATTGGTGTTATAATGCAAAGGTCCAGTAAATATGTGAATATTAATATGACATAAATGAGCACTATGACTAAATAATGTTAATAACACATATTACAAATGAGAAATAATAAAAATCTACATAACTATTATCTGTAGTATTAAAAAGAATATCATTTGACGTGTTTAAAAAAAGAATATCATATTTTAATATTATTTATTTGTTTAAAGATTTATTGTTGTCAAGTTTTTCATTAAAAAATAAATTTGAAAGAATAAAAATTGATTATTATGAAAAGTCTTCAATTTTTAATAATGTATTAATATTTATATCATAATCTGTTTGTATTTATATTGTTTTTAAATTTTTGTTTCATTGAGCTCTTAATTAAATTTGTTTGTACCAAAAGCTTCAATTTATCCATCAGAATTTACATATCTTTATTTTTTATTTATGATTATTTATTTTGTTTTTAACAAATTTCATATATTATTCATATTTATTGATGTTCATTAAAAGGGTAACAAGTGATATTATTTAAATAAACACTTTTTGAGTTAAAACATATAGAAAATGGTTTCTAGTTGATACCTTACTAGTGTTTATTTTTCAAGAATATAAGATTAGTATTACTAACATACAAAACAACTTATTTCAAACGATTCAATACAAAACAATTTAATATATGCTAATGTTTGTATTTATTGATGAAATAAATTTATGGAACATATGTATCTATAAAAAGCAAAGATAATTTTATTAGAGTCATTCATAATAAAGAGTTTATATTTTTATATTCTAGTGGAAAGATATTATTCAAATTATTAATTAATTTAATAAATAATTAAAACTACTTTCAGATTAATAACTAATTTATTTTTATTTAATAATAGTTTCCAACTCATTTGTAAAGAGTATAAGAGTTTTTATAATTAAATTTGCAATTTCTTATTCCACTTTTCAATATATTATTTAATTTGAATATTGAATATAAATTAAGATATTCTTTGATATTTTTACAATTCTCCTTCTTAACTCAATTATTTGAAAACAAAATAGTATTATCTATAATGGTATTATGGAAATGATTTATTTTTATATTTAAAATAAGACACTCAACAGTTTCTTATTAAACTCTTTTTGATTTGTTTAAAAAAATGAACTATTATTGAATTAATTGGTTTAATTATTCAAGACAAATGAAAATGACTGATTTAAAATTATTGCATTGATTTTGGGAAATAAGTTAGTATCTAAAAATAAAATATTTGAAATTAACTTTAATAAGTGTTACTCAGTCTTACTACTAATTATTTCATTTGTCATAAAACAGAGTGAGTACAAAAGTTATCATGATCCTGTTTTAATAGTTGGTTAAAAGATGGATAGTTGTAACACACTTGAAAGTGCTGATTCATCAATTTTAACGTTTTGTATAACAAAAAAGATATTTTGAAAAGAAAACTAAAAAAGGAGATTCATTCAAACAATGAATGAAGAAAGTATGATGTCTCACATTCTATATCGACATGAACAATTTGTAAGAGCACATTTGAAAGAATATTTGAAAGAATCTGATGAAGAGAAACAAAGAAAATATCAAATAGCGGCAGCAAGTCAAGGGTGTTTACCATTAATTATGGAGTTTGTTGAAACAAATTCAAGTCTTGTCAACTCAGAGTTGTTGGCTGTTGCCATTTATAACCAACAAATTGGTGTTGTAGAATTTTTATTAAAGAGGATGAACGAGCTAAAACAAATGCCACTTGGATTATCATTCACCAGTTTATTCAATATTAAACACTACCCTTTTACTACAACTCTTCAAGAAGAAAAGACTCCATCACTTTGGAAACATCAAGAGAATGGTAAGAGTGGTGCATTAATTGAAGAAAGAGATTCTAGTAACACGAGTATTTCAAATATATCCAGAATAAGTAATGATGAGACTAAAATAAATCAAGAAGATATGCCAAATATTGAAAATAAACAAAAAAAGTCATTAACAAACTCAAAAGACGTTGAACAAAATAGTTTTTTGTTGGTTGGAGGAATGGTCATTAATACATCTTCTTCATCTCAAGAAATTTATACGTCAATTCCTATTCCATTTCAGAAAAAATATGTTGATATAACATCTTCTCATCGTTCAAAATTTGCGATTATTATTTACATTGGTTCTTTAGAAATAAAATGGGTGAATAATGTCTTATTTACTCCAACAGAACTACATTCTCTTCCTATGCAATCAAATATTCCTCAACGATTTATATTTACAAGAAATAATATTCAAATTCAAACAATAACAATCCCTTATCCTCCTGATGCAATAACAATTACAATATCTATCAATTTAGAACCTTATTCTTTTGTTATTCTTTCAGATAATTCAATTCCTCCATGTATTGAATCACATTATCTTCCATTCATTGATTTTGATTATCCTCCATTACTTGCTCCATTTCTACCACCACCATTACCAACACATCTTTCAGTTCTAGTTTATTCTCTATCATTGAAACCAAATGAAGAGTTGGTAAAATGTATTATCAATTCTATGAGTTTAGAATGTTTATTCCAACAGACAACATATGCAAAACATCATGCATTGAGAATGGCTGCTTTTTTTCATGAGCCAATCACATTCTCTGCATTATTGCCTTATGCAGAAGAGTTAGATTGTTCAATCTTCAGATCTCTTGTTTGCACTCCATTCAGTAAGTCACATCGTAAAATATTATTAACATTACCAATCAAAGAATTTCCAAGAGAAATTATTGGTGGTATTGATGACATTGTTGGATTTAATAATGCATTAGAAATGTATCCATTTGCAAATCATATCATTGATTATATTAAAATCATCAAAACAGCTTTAACAACAAAATCTTTTTATGTTTTGGAAGTGTTACGTTCAAAAGATATAGTTGGAATAGATGAAAACTTCTCCAAAGAAATTCTAGACTCTTTACTTCTTTCTGATTCTCCTGCAGAAGAATATGTTATAAAAATGATTTCTACTCCATTGTCTTATTATTCTGCACATATTACAATGTACACCAATCCTAAAATGTTAAAGTTTATTTTAGAGAATGGAGGAAGAGTTGAACAATTGAATGGATGGAATATTGAAAGTGATGAGGTTGCAATTAGGTTTAATGCTTCTATTATTGATGGAAGAGTAAATGGTAGTCGTCCATTGCATGATGCAGTCAAACAACAAAATTCCACTTTTATAGATTGGTTATTACAACATGGTTGTAATGCCACATTGCTAGATGGTCAAGGAAAAAGAGCTATTGACTATACTTCAGAAGGAAGTGTATATTACAAATTATTAGTAAATAAATGTAAACAAATAAAATTGGAGAAGCCACAAACATTGTTTGTTGAAGGAAAGAAAGAACAAATGACAATAACAAATAAGAATGTTATTATTATTTCTAAAACTGGAAAAAACACTACGAATATAAATGTTGTTGGTATAAAACAATTTGAATTGAACCATTCATTTGATGTTGCATATTCAATACCATACGATGAATGTGTTGTATTAAGAAAAACTAATCGGATGTATATTATCAATACAAATACAACTGAAGAAAAAGAAATAGAATGTAATAATACTTTATTATGGAATCATCCAATTGCAATTCAAAATGACTCAATTTATGTTGTTTTACCATCACTAAAGAAGAAAATATATCAAACATTGTGGTACTCTTCATTAGAAACACCATCTAAAATAAAACCAGTATGTTCTAATGAATATCCTATTGATTATATTCTAAGTCAGAAAGACTGTATTGTTTGTATTAACATTTTAGAACAAGGTATCAAAGAGAAACCATGTTGGATAACTCAACACTTTAAGAATCAACTTAATATAATTGTTATTTATTCAAAGAAAATTCATAATGTTTTAATTCAAGTATGTGATGAAGCACAAGAATGGAATCAAACTACAGTCCAACAAGTGTCTCTCAATAATTTTATTATTTTCTGTTTTGTTAATGAACCATCAGCAAAACAACCACATTTTGCAATTGACTTAGTTTCCAAACGTCTCTTTGCTCTTCCTTTCGAGTTTCAGTCATTACCACCATCTACAATAATTCACAATAATAAAGCATTTTCATTATTTCCATCTCAACTCTTAATTCAAAACATAGAACCAATTTTATTTCATCCTATGCAAAGATTTATTTCAAAATTGATTACATTTCATCCAGATATTACTTTAACAAATGGAATAGATAAGTTAAAGTGTCACTCTTTCATTCTTCAAATAAGAATTCCTTCTCTTCTTAATCATATTGAAAATAATATTATTCATATTAACTCAAGTGCTGATGAACTTTTAACATTGAAATTGTTCTTATATACTGGAGACCCTTGTTATCCAATTCAAGACTTTGTTGTTGTTGATAGACTCTCACTCTTTCATTCTGTGATTTCTAAAATAAACTCTCAATTTCATTCTTCCATTCAACCCACTCTTGGATTTAATAGTTTTATTCATGACTTTACTCAATTATCACATAATGACCTTGAAGTATGTTTTATACCAAATACTATTGTTCATATCAATTCTATATGGTTTTCATTTGTCTTTCCTCAAATTGATCCAAAGAATTACATCACAGACCCATTTGTGATTAAAATAATAAAGCATATATATGAATTAAATGATCCAATATGGCTAGAATATCTTTGTGTTTATTTTAATATCAATTAAACTCATTTATTCATTTTTGGTTAATGAGAAAATATAAGAAAACCTTAAACATTGTTGAAATGAACTATTGATATTTATTCATCATCTATTCCACTATCTATTTCACTCTCATCATCATCATCTTCTTGAGGAGGTAAATCAGCAACCTTTTGAATTAAATCAGCCATTTCTGATTTACTAACTTTAGTCTCTAAAAACGGATGCTAAAAGAAGATTAATATCAAGTCTGAAGATAATTAAAATATAAAGAAAAGAATAAATTTACATGTGAAAATAAAAGAAAGAACAAACTTTTATCATTTCAAATGATGTTTTTCTAAGTTGTGGATTGAGTACTAAACAATCACTAACAAAAGTATTAAATAAAGTACTCCATTTTTCTTTATCTTTTAAAGGAGGAATTCCTTTAGTAGTAATAAGAAATAATGCCCTCATTGGAGGATAATCCATATATGGTGGGTTTCCATCAGCCATTTCCATACACATAATTCCTAAAGACCATATATCAACTTTTTCATCATATCGTTGACTTCTGATTAATTCTGGTGCCATCCAATATGGTGTTCCAACAATACTTGTTCTATTTGATTTTTGTTTAGTTAGTTGAGCAGCATAACCAAAATCAGATAATTTAATACTTCCATCTTTTTTCAATAATAAATTATCTGATTTAATATCTCTATGAACACAATGAAATGAATGGAGATATGTTAATGCTTTTAATGTTTCTGTACAAATAAAACTAATAAAATGTTCTGTTAATGGTACTTCTTTATGTCTGTCTATAATATCAGTTAAACATCCTCCATCCATATATTCCATTACTAACCATAACATTTCATTAATTAAATAACATTCAATATAAGTCACTACATTTTCATGTCGATATTGATTTAATATAGTAACTTCTGTAACAATTGCTCTTTTACTTTTCTTTGTAATTCTCATTCTTTTTAATGCAACTTCACATCCATCAACTTTCCTTGTTGCTCTAAAGACATCACCAACTCCTCCTTCTCCAATCTTTTCTAAATTTTCATATATTTCATCTGGATCATTTTTATTAATAAAACTCTTTAAATCAACTTCTTTTTCATCAGGTAATGGTTGAATTTGAAGTTGGAATTGTCCATCATCTTCTTTCATACAATTTATTTCTTTTTCATTTTCTTCTTTTCCAACTTCTGTTTCTTCTATTTCTGCTAAATTTTTATTATGAAAATCTAATACGTCATGAACAACTTCTGGATGTGCTTTAATTTCTTTTTCTGTAATTCCTGATGATTTTAATTGTGCTTCCCATTCTGGTGGAATTCCTGTTAATTCTCCTAATGTATATTCTCCATGATGAATATGTTGAAATCCTTCTGGCTCACTAATAACAAGATTTTCTTCTTTTTCCTTTTTCTTTTTCATAAATGACTTAAACATTTATATCTTTAAATATTAAAACTATTCATTTTTTAGTTTATTTAAATTTTTTATTTTGTTTTTTCATATTTTGTTATTGAAACGAATATCTCTTTCATATTTTTATTTGGTTTTTTCTACTTATTTATCATTTCTTATAATAAATTATATTTCTTATTTGTTGTTTTTTTTGTCTTATCTTTCTTTTAACTCCCCATCTGAAATCATTGAAAAGAAAATGATATTAACCCTTAAAAGACTGTCAATTCTATACTTTTATCATAGCACAAATGGTTGATACAATTCTTGCATCATAAATACTTGATTATCTGATCCTTTAGCTTCAATCCAACTTGCCTTTTGTAAGCAATCATTTTCTGGTTTTTTGTCAATTAATATTCCAAGTCTCTTACTGAATGCAATATCTAAATCAGTTGCTTCAATATACATTTCTTTTACATCCATACAATTATCTCCATTGATAAATTGATTATATGAAATTACTCCTTCAATAAGTCTATCAATTTCTTCAGAAATTTCAACAATTTTCTTCTTTGTATATGATGATAATACAAATCCATTTTTTACAACTTCTGCTTCTAATTCAGATCCTCTCTTTTTAATGGATGTAATTTGATTAAAATAATCTTTAATAGAATCTCCTGTTGATGTAGTAACTGATGCTGGAATATCTAATTCTCCAGTACTTTTGTTTAAATATTTCATCACATCAATAAATGTAGGTGGTGCAAGTGCATTCATTGCATGAATAATTTGTGGCATATTAACTATCCATAACCAAATTCTATGTGAAGTAGAAAAAATATCTTTTAATATTTGAGTATTTTGTTCTTTAATAACCTATTTCTATTAATTTTCTTTTTATTTGATTTAATTATGTCTTCTATCTATACTATAAAATAACAACAAACTTGTGTTAATGTTTGCATTTGAATTTCAAAAAATTGTCTCATATTATTAATCATTTCTCTATTCTTCACAAAAAATTCATCTTGTTCTTCAAATGTTGGTAATTGATGTACTGAAGTATACATTCTACTAAAATGTGTTGTCCATGTACATCCATCTTGATACATTTGTCTAACATTTTCTGGTAATTCTTGAATTTCTACAACTGGTAATTGCATTGGAGTTGCTGCATAATACAATTGAACAACAAATGGAATATCAAAAAATTGTCTAACTTCAGGAATTTGAATTAAAGAACTACTTTTAGTAATTGAATAAATGTAATTTGTTAATCCTTTTTTTCTTTCTTCTAAATTTTCTTTTGAATGAACAAGTAATTTTGGTGGTAAATTAATAATACATGGATCATTTGTCACATATTTGATAAGATTGTGAAATGCCTCAAATTCACTAAATCGTTTTGGTGTTGTTTTCCAGATTTTCTTTTGTTTCCATGTAAATAAAATTGTGTAAAAATTAACATTCTTATCAACATTACTAACTGTGTCTTTTAATGATATTGTAAAATCAGTAGTTATTAAATTTTGTTCGGGTGTATTTGGATCAATAATCGTATGCATAGAATTTTATTTAACTTTCTTTTTAATTACTTAGTTCTTCTATTTTCTTTCCCAGTTCCTTTGGAAATTCCTTTTCTTATTATTTTCTAGTTCGATTTTATTCTCTCTATTTCCTATTCTTTTATTTCTTCTTCTTTTCCTAATTTTTTTTATCATCTGTATAAATCATAAATTTCTAAATCTTGAATAACAAAAATTATATGTAAACGTGGACTTATTTGTGATTTTCGTGGATTATAAAAAGACAAATTTAAAAAATTTGAAAAGACAAAAAATCTGAAAAAAAAAGAAATTCTTTTCTTGAACAGTAATTTATCATGTTTACCATCAGAAAAGCCACTGTTTGTTTTTTTTTATTTTTCATGAAATAATTTTATTAATTGTGTCTTTGTCTTAAATGACAATTATTTTTGATTATTTACATTAAATATGTTATATAAACTATAAAAATAAATAAATGAAAGTAATCATTTAGCCTGCAGATTTGCCTGCAATCCAAAATGTTAATTTAACAAATTTACCAGAGAATTATAATTTACAATTATATTATTATCATTTAATATTATATCCAACATCTTTTGTTGCTGTAACACCTGATAATAAGGTGGTTGGGTATTGTTTAACTAAAATGTTTGGATGTATTTTTATATTATCTACTAATTACTAATATATAGTGAAGATGATGACCCTCATCCAGTTGTTACAGGACAAGTAACTTCTATTAGTGTTTTAAGAACATACAGAAGATTAGGTATTGCAACTAAATTAATTCGGGCTGCAGAAAATAGTATGATTGAAGTCTTTGGTGCTCGAGCAATGATGCTTCAAGTAAGAGTTTCAAATCAACCAGCCTTACATTTATATGAAAAAACAATTGGATTTACGTTTGTTTTATTATTTCTTTAATGATAGTTTGAGTTTGTTAAAAGTAAAACCAAGTCTTATTTTCTTTCTAGTGTAACTAAAGTTTCAAAACATTATTATCTTGATGGAGAAGATGCATTAATTTTGACACATAATTTTACATTAGATACTTTAATTAATAAGGATTGCTCTTCTGTAGTTGTAGATGAATGGAAAAGAGTTATGCAAGAACAGGAAAATAAACAAAAAGAATAACAACCAACAAGTGCTAATTGATTGAATTATATGAAAAATATCTATCATTCATTTTCATTAATAAAACAATATAACGATTAAAGTTGATATTATAATACAACAGCTTCAATACCAACAATTCCTTGTAATACCAAGTCATCTCTTCATTACTAACTATCATACCACTAAAAATTTATTCATATTAGTTTATAAAAACATATCAATTATGTATTTCTTAACAATGGTATTCATCTTTTAGACTACGTCTATAATGAAACACAGTATTTAAATAATGTGAATTGAAATAACCTTGTTATGGAGGTTCTTAATCCCATTAATACTCCTCATATATTTATATTAAGTAAAATATTTTTTTTTGAAAGAGCATTGATATGAAATTATTGATGTGTAAAAGAATTAACAAATGAACAATAAAATAACTCAAAAAAAAATATTAATTTAGAGAAAGGAAAATAAAAAAGGTTGAAGTACTTTCATTAGAAGTAAATGAAAGTATAAAAAAGATAATAACACTTATATTCTACTATAAAAGAAAGAATGATTTGATTTTTTTATGTTACAGAGTTAATAGTCTTTCTAACTTAGGTATAGAGACAATGACGTGTAACTTTTTAAACAAAAAAGGAAAGAGAGTTTATATTTTACACACTAGTCTTTTACGTAGAATTGTTATATTATAGTACGTATTCTTTATAAAATAATATTATAAAAACCTTTTAAATAAAGAAAGTATTTTACTTTATTATATGTAGTGAATATCCCATTAATAAGACAATGCCTTTCTCTTATAATTTTGTTACCATTGTTTTTTTTAACTTCATTCATTTCCTCACCTTATTTGCAGGTTTAGATAATTTTATTATAAAATGAATATTTGTAAAACATAAAGTTATTTCTAAATAGTCGTTTATAAAAAGTAATTTGATAAATTTAAAAAAATAAACTCTCAATAGTTTGGTGTTTATAAAGTACTAATTAATTTCTTTTGACGAAAAACATAATGATACTTATATAATATTCAAACAAAACCAATAATCCTTCATTATTGTATTTATTATTCAAAGTCATAATACTTTTATAAATTTAATATATTTCTTCTTATAAAACTATTTTGTTTTATGTAACAAAAAATAACAAGAAGAAACGTAGAATAGAAAAAATATAGTAAAAAAAGATATTATAAAAGAAAACCTAGATGTCACTAATAATTGAATAAGATGGCTGACGAAAATCAAACTCCTCAAGAAATTCAAGAACTTCCACAAGAATTAAAAGACATTAAAGCTGTCTTATATCAAGCAAGAGCCCAAAACATCTTAACTAAAGGAATTAGACAATGCCTTAAAGTTATTGAAGCCAAGAAAGCCCTCTTCTGTTTCATTGCTGAAGACTGTGATAATGATAAATACACTGGACTTCTTACTGCTATTTGCAAAGAACAAGGAATCAAAATTGTTAAAGTCCCAGAAAAGATTCAACTTGGTGAATGGACTAATCAATGCAAAATCAGAGATGGAGTTGCTGTCAATATTGCTAAATGTTCATGTGCTGTTATTGGAAACAATATTAAATTTACTGATGAACTTAAGAGATTAAAAACTAAGGTTGATGGTTAATTGATTTTTTCTCCTTTTTAAGTTATGATATATCTTTCATCTTTGTTCGTTTTACTTTAATTTTTTTTATCTCATTTATCATCTTAATAATCTTGGTTGTGTTAAAAATAAAACAAATTAAGAAAAATCTGAAATAATTAATTTCAAGATGATAGAACTTAATTAATAGAAGCTTCCTTAAAACAAAAACTTGAAAACGAAAAGAAGAATGAAGATAATGAAACCATAAAATATAATATAAATAATATAATATATAGTAAATTTATGAAAAGAACAAAAATTGAATTTATTCATCTAAAGAAGTTAATGAGTAGCCTATTTGTTTCTGTTACCATCACCCCATGTGCTCCAATGGCTCGTGTTGAAGGGGTTATTAAAAAAATGACCATTGGATATTCAAATACTATGCAACATTGTCATAAAACAAACAATCAAATATTAACACAACCAAGTATACCAATGAGTAATTATGGTCTTGATAATGAAACAGGAGATTTGATTATTAGGACAGATGATATTATTGGGTCAGCAACTTCAATGGAAGGAATCCAGTTTTCTATGGATCAAAAATCATTAACACGGTATAGAGTTATCCAATTACTTGGTCAAGGAACATTTGGTCAAGTTGTTAAATGTATTGATTTAAGTACAAACAAGTATGTAGCTATTAAGGTTTTAAAAAATAAACCAGCGTATTTTAAACAGTCGTTGATTGAAGTAACAGTTCTTCATTTCGTTTGTAACTTTTTGTCTCTATTTTTAATTATACGAAGTTAGAATTTGAAAATTATAAAACGAGAAATATTCATTATATAGTTAAATGATTATTATGATAAATCTCCACATAGTAGAATATTAAAAATGTTGGATTATTTTATGTATTATGGTCATATTTGTATAGTCACTGAAATGCTTGGGTTTGTCTCATTCTTTTTTTATATTTCAAATCACAATAAATTCTTTCATTTGTTTTGGTTTCTATTCATACCAAAGTGATGATAAGATATGATGAAATAAAAAACTGATAAGAGATAGCCTTGATTTATATGAGTTGATGAGAAGAAATAGAAATCATGGCTTTTCTATCCAGACAATTCGT